ATAAGTCTTCAAAACAACCAACAATATCACATAAAATATGAGTTATAACTAGGGTTGTTAATTAATATGAATTCATTGTAAATTTTGATATAATTATTAAATATTTTAATCCACGATCACCAAAATAAGAATTCGTAATTCTACTTATCAAAGTTACTTACAATGGGCGTACGGGCTAAATGATGTAAATTTTCATGTTTTATGATAATTTCAACAGGTGTTAATATTTGTTTTTCGAACTCTCGTTCATATCGTTCATAATCATTCCACGTTTGCTAAGAGAAATCTACGTTGAATGAAAAAAAAAGACTTATTAGAAAAGCCACGGGTGTTTGCCTTGCTACGATAAAATATTCTTCAAATATGTACTCACACTTGCACGAATTATTAGAATTTCAATTTCTGTGCCAAGAAAAAAATTTTGATTGTGCCGAATCACACAACGTTTTTAGTCATCCAGATCGACGTGTGTCGATTACTTTTTCCTAAAATGACGTCCAAAGTCATACCACTTTTTTTTACTGCATGCATTTTTGCCCTCGTGAGGAAAAATTCAGCATTTCCACACATATGGGATTTGATTAATAATCATTTCGGTCATGTGCAACAACCAGTTCCCACACCTTACGTAGTACAGTATCAAACAGTTCCCTCAACATACTATGTGAACTACCCAGTGGTTAACCGACCACAAATCAACTGGAGTGGATCTCAGGTTCCGTGTATCAGACTTGTACAACCACAATTGAATTCACCACAATTGGTATGTCAGTTTTGGCAGCAAGATCCAAACATTACACCATCATTAAAACCATCGCAACCATTCATCCCCGGTACTGTTGGAAAACCAGACAAGCCATCACTACCACAACCACCCAATCCGGGTACTGTGGAGAAACCAGACAAGCCATTATCGCTAAAACCACTCAATCCGGGTACTGTGGAGAAACCAGACAAGCCATTATCGCCAAAACCACACAATCCGGGTACTGTGGGGAAACCAGACAAGCCATCATCGCCAAAACCAGTTTCTACACCATCGAACCTGGGTAAGGACTGGGAGTTGGTCACCAGTTCTATGAATCCACCCACGGAATACGCAAACGTACGACTGGCAACTAATAGCCATCCGACAAGTGAACTACCTTTTCCGATCGATGCAATACCTCACCTACCAAGTCCACCACTATTAGACGACCCACCATCTGATCCCGGTAGTATTGGGATATCCGGTCCAATAGATGCAATACTTCATAGATTAAATCCAGAACATTTTGGAGATACTATATAAGCCAAACCATGAATAAAGACGTAAGTTTAATTATTTTAATCGTACAAACTTTATCTAGGGGCCTCATTTTTGAATTATACATTTTCATTAGGATATTCAGATGTTGTGGGGTACCATTAGGAAGTCATAAAAAGAGCTTTTAGTTAATAGGTGCATGATTTTTCAAGTTAAGGTTTTAAATGTTGTTACTCTCTCCTCTTGTGAAACATAATTCAATGTTACATACCATGTAAACTCAAATAGTGACGAGATTTTTGTTTTTCAATATTTAACACTAGGTTTGAGAAATATGCTTTTAAATAAATGTATTTTTATTCACTTTACAATTAACTCTATAAAATAAAACCCAGATGGTTTGTTGTTGGTAAAATAACATACAGATATCTTCAAAAGTTTAGCTTTATCATCTACTCAGTTAAAAATACATTTATTTACTTCTCTGCAACTCATGAAACCATGTTGTTCTTCTTCATCATGATACAACGATTAAAGCTACACACGAACTGAAATTTTGTTGTTTCAGACTTTCTACCCAATATATTGAGCCAAGTAATGAACAACTGTGATGTTAGCAGAGTGCTTACCCGCCCAAGATGATCCTCAACTAATCCATGCTTTAAAAATTTTTTGTGCAACCAATATATTTTAAATATAAAAAAAAGTGCAAGTGGAAAAAAATCGTTAAAATTGAATGTTAACATTTTACAAAATGTTATAATTTATTTAAAATTTTGAGTACATCTAAAAATTAAATGGAGCGCAAAAGTTATAGTATAACCTTCTCTTCGAATGAATTAAATAAAGAAGTAGAATTTTTGTACGACTTTTTTTGTAAAANTTAAAATGAGACGAGCTTTTATCGTTAAAATAGTACAATACTTAATACCATAGGTTCTAGCGATTCTTTATTCAAATTACTTTATACTCTCGAATCCAATATTTTGCTTAAATGCTTTAATTTATTTCAGTACTTAAAAAGCATATCATATAATTACTATTATCGTAATAAGGGTAATCCCTTTTACCTGTCATTTCAAATACCTGATCATGCGCCTCCTTTCGTAGGATATAAAAAATAAATGTACAATTATGAGTAAAAAAATTAGCATATTTAAATGATGACAAAAATATAAATATAATCTTGTTCGCTTAAAATTAAGCAATTATATACCAAGTGCAAGTCCATCAGATAATTAACTGCTATTACACATGTAGGGCTTGCTAAACTAAACATTTGAGTTTCAAACTGATTTCCATGACAAGACAGATAACCTGGGTGCGTATGTACTTTACATTAGAAATGAAATTTCAAAAACGTTTGTAACGTCTACTTGTTACCAGCTCTTTTTATCACTTACACTCTCCAATTACGTGAGAATTCATTATAATCATTCTACTCCATTCTTGTAGCTACTAGAGATAAAAAAAAAATTAAATTGCCTTGGCTCCGTTCTCTTATCCCACCAAATACACATACGTAAGTGTAAGCCACAAACTTTTTTTACACATCCGCATGCACCCAAGCCCAACTTTTCTATCATGCCACGAGCTAGAAAACAGGATGTCTCGATGATAATGTGACTCAGATATTTTCAGTCCTCGCTTTTTGATTACATATATTACAAATCATAATAAATATAATACAGTTTGTCAAGGCAAACCGATTTGATATGTTTCTACTTTAGTACATAAAAATAGCGACTTAGAGTAACACTTGTAAATGTAAAACAGTCGGTTCTAATGGTATGGCTATTTACAAAGTACATACGTGAATAAAAATGAGTAATTTTGCTAATAAAATTGATGCACTTATTACAATTTCATGATTGTAAGCGGTATTTAGAATGAAAAATGTCGATACGATGCTCTTGCGTCATTTTTTAAGTCTTTCTGTAATTCTGATACGATATTGTAATTGATAGGTTAAACAGTACGGGGATGAGAAGTTTCTAAGCGTTTCTAATGATCACTGTGAGATGTAGGGTCTAGTAAGAATATCTGTGTGATCATATGAGAAACAAATAAAAAAAAAATCAACACCAAAAAATGAGACTATCTTCAGTAACAATTTTCATGGTACAAAATGATATTCACATGTATTTGTCGAATAACAGTTTTGTACGTTACGTGTGATATGTATTAATAATAGTAATCACAATACAGTTTTGATGAGAAAATTTCTGAAACATACTATATGCTATATATACGCAAGTACGATATTACTTATAGGATTGAGAGTAAAATATTTGTAAGATAATAAAAATAAATTCGATGTGTGAGCTACGTACATTTGTTCATGCATAGTTTAACAAAACGATGAATGGAGCTTGAAAAAATGTTATACAATAAAATACGAGCATGAATGAAGAAGATCGATATCTTTGTAATGCTTTTGAATCCAAATAGTCTTACATTCTTGACAAATGAGTGAAAAATATACAAGAAACAAAGGCAGGGTATCCATAATCTGACTAATACATAAATGTTCAGAATAAACTTACATTGACTCATGTAGAGGGAGGAGATAACCTGTACTTGAGCTCATCAAATCAATAGCTCCAATTCCACTACCATTGACAGCGATGTTGGAATCAACATCGTGTCATAATGGTAATACTGATTGTAGTTCACGAAATGATTTGTCCGGCACACGTGTATTTGACAGTCGTGTCATGTGATCCTCATTGTTCGCATGAATTTCAATAAATGAAAAAATGGTAGTGATGACAGAATATGCATTTCAAGCCATTTAGTGTAGGTTGTTCTTATC